AGCGCCGGGAGCTCTGTGCCCGGCTGCAGCTGCTCCCTCCTGGCCCCAGGCCTTGCAGCTGCCCCTCTGCCAGGCCGGCAAGGGCCCCACTGCCCCGACGGGCAGCTACACGCCGGGACAGATTCAGGCGCCACTCTCACTGCGAATAGTTTTCCCCCCCCGAAACAGCAATTCAGAATCGAGGTCGAGGGGTGACAAGTTTGGGAGTAGCAAGTGTCCCAGAGCGGTATGCTGATAGCTGCCAAAATAAAAATGGGGCGCTGGAGGGGCTGAGCAGGGTGGTACTGCCACGACGCATCGCACGGCACCGTCTCCCTCTCCTCCAGACGACTGCTTAGTCTACGGCATCAGGCGAGTCCGCGTCCAGCTAGAAAAACGTCGTCGGCTCGGATGAAATGTATACAAAAACCATGGCCCAATTCAGTAAACTCAGTGTCTTGACCCGTAAAGTCTTTGTTAAACTCAACCAAGCTTTTTTCTTTTGCATGAAAAATTAGATGGTCAGGAACGGGTTGTGCTCCTTTGGGTTGTGCTCCAGCCCAAGTCACGCTGCTGTTTCCTTCTGGGCTTCCACAGAGCGGTGCATGCGCCGGGTTTTCTTCCGCCTCCAAGTGCACATCTGCTTCCGTCTCCGAGTTGCTCAATTCTTGTGGTTGTCGTCTCTTCCTCTCTTGGATTGCCCCAACGCAGCACAGGAGAAACGGGAACAGTCGCCCCGCGTCGCGGGGCTTGGCGGGTGTTGCCGTGGGTTATAATCCGATACGGCTCTTGGAGTGCCCCTGCTGGGGCTGTGCCTCGTGGACTTTCCTCTGCTCGCACCCGTTTCCACTGGGAGATAGTAACGTGGAGAGGAAGCGTTACCTCCTTTCTTTTTCTTTTTTTTTTTTTTTTCCCTGCCAAACCTCAGTTAATAAAAATAAAATAAACCACGTGCCTTGGACAAATATTATGACATTTCATCATTCACACCGAGCTCGATAAGGGAGTTGTTCTAGGGACTGCGGTGCATGATTTATTTGGTTTGGACGTGGGTACCAATTCGGCCTTCGGAGGCAGCGCTGTAGCTCTGGGAGGATGCGGATGCTCTCACGTCCGCTGGAGCAGAGCCAGCGCCTAGCACCCCGTCTGTATTGTTTCAGGGTAAACAGGGCACACGAGACCCGTGGTCGCAGCACGTTGTAGAGGGGCCAGGTGACTCCGCAGAAGCTGAGAAGTGGAAGGCGCGTCTCCGAGATCGTGTCTAGCATTGCATTGCTCTAAGTGGGGGAGGGAAGTTCCATTTTTAAGATAAACATTTCTTTGCATAAATTATTTTATTGATTACTACTTTCAGGATAAAAGGGATAAATAGAAGCAATACTCTCCTCTATTTTTTAACGTTGTCTTTATCTTATAGACAAATACAGGAAGCATTCTGGGGTCAGGACCATCTTTCTGGTGTGTGGGTTATTTTCATCCTCCGTTCCTCAGTTTCCCCACTTGAAAGATTGCCCTTCTGGGGATGCACTGTTGGAAAGTTACTCAGAAGTGCAGGGTGCTAGCTGGCTATGAGTGCTGCTATGAGTTGTTCAGTGCAATGCGTTTGATCTTAGAGCTGCTTGTGTTGCTCTCCTTGATTTCAGCTTGGACTATCGGCGGCTGTAAAGCGAGGCAAGCCAGGAGGTGTGTGCAGCATTAGGGGTTGCCACAGACATGGAACTGGAAAATAAGAGAAATCTCTTATTTTTGCAAATCCTGATCTGCCCCAAGGAAGGGGCCTGCGCAGGCACCGGGGCTTTTTAGTTTTCGCTTGGGAGCCTGTGACGCTTTCCTAGGTCTGAGATGGAGAGCTGCTCTGCGAACCAGCCCGTGCTCTGCTGCAAGAAGCACTTAGGCTGCTAGACAAGGTGGTGAAGGCTGGAGAAACTAATAGTTTTTTCCTTGTGAAGTGCCTGGATCTAAGCGGCTTTGCAGATGTCAGAGCGGCTTTGCAGGTTGCTTTACGGGCGTGAAGGACGTACCGGGAATGGCAGGGCCGTGGCCGTGTGTGTGCTGGCAAGCGATGGGGAGCCCCATACGCATCCGGCGGCTAGCAGCCGAGCAGCAAGAGGCCGGACATTGATGGCGATGGCAGGGCTGTGTTTTGGAGGAAATTAAGAAAAAAAAGGATTCAGCGAACACGCTGGCGGGTGTGAAAGCAAGGGGCTGTGGGGCTGTCTTTTACTTCAATGCCTGTTTCTGTCCTTTAATCTCACCCCGCTGGGTGAAAGATAAGAGGGGCCCTCGTGAGGCAAACCAGCCAGAAATAAGTCAGAGTAAAAGAAAGTCAGCGACCACGTAGCTGGAAGAAAAGGCAGAACGAGGCCGAAAAATCCCAGGTGCGCTAGAATCGGACGGGATTATAGCTGGGTGTGCGCAAATCCCTTCCCGAAGGCGGTAGCCATGTGTGGAAGAAAGCGTGCGGAGGAGAAAAGCAGCAGCACTATTTCTGGTGCGCTCTCGAATCATGCCCGAGGCTCGCTGGTATTTCATGAAGGAAAAGCTTGGTCTGCAGGGAAAGCAGTGCCAGAGTCCAGAAAAATAGATACTTTAGCAGCCACGCGATTGAATAAATGTTATTCTTTCCCTTGTTTTTCTAACAAGAAAAGAATTTTGTGAGAAAGCGTTGTCACTTTGGGAGTCCGGCGTCTCCCCTCTTCCGAACCCTCCCGCTGGGCGGCGGGGAGGGAAAGGCTGTCCTGCC